AAAAATTCATGAAATTTGAATAAATATTTATTTAGATAGTATCAATCGGACTATTTACTTACAATAAATAAATATTTATTCAATTAAAAAAATTACACTTAAGTATTATTTTTTTTAATCGAATAATTATTTTCTGTAAGCGAATGATCCCATTGGTATTATCTAAATAAATATTTATTCAAATTTTGTAAATTCTTTTTTCATTGTAGCATAAGCAGAAATTATTTTTTCTTCTTAAAATGTAAACGTATAAAAATAAATAATAAAAATAAATAATAAAACTAATTTGCCGATAATAAATTAATTGATAAATTCTGATATTTACAGCTGAATAATGTTTAACTTGAAATGCCCTTGCGCTTAAACTCTGCCTTTATTTCTGTTTAAACTTCACAGAGCTGAAATAAATGTTGTTCATGCGCTTACATTAAATGTCAGTTTGTAATACAAATCTTTTTGTGTACTTTTCAGCTAGATTGGTATCATCTGAATGTATCAGATTATATTTACATGGAAGATTTGTGTTAATAATGATTGGGTCGTATTCTTAACTCAATTTAGAGAGAGAAGACAATTATGTCGAAATTTATGTAATTCTCTCAAAAGAACAACTGATTACGCTGTCGCCACTAATGCTCAGGTATACATACGTGCAGGTGTACACACGCATGTGATGAGAACCATCTAATCCGGACAGCAAGGTCCTTTAAGTCTTCTTCTTACCGAGAAATGAGCAGACTCCCCACGGGAGTTGTCTCAACCCAGAAGTACAATCCGTATCAAAAATATCCAACGTTATAGTGTCTTATGAGTATATAGACTTCCCAGATCTCGAGAAATTTTTGCAGTGTGGTTTGCATTTTTATGCATTAGAATATTCAAAGATCGATTATTACGTCACGTTTCTTTCTTGTCATAATGCTGTCAATAATTATTGATATTTTTTGTCAGGCATCAGATAGACATATGATATATCTGCTGTGAAACAGAAGATTTTGCATAGTCTCTGCTATAAATTTTATCGGTAGAATGCTAGCGATAACAGAATATGTTAGCAGAATATGACGCGGCGGATGGAATGTAGAAAATGCGAGCAAAAGTCATAGCTATATTTAAATAATATATTCAATTAAAAATATGTAGTTATGAAATGATAGACTTCGCTCGATTGAAAGGAATAGATAATGTGTATAATAAATTTCTCATATTGAAAATTATACAGATTTTTAAAAATAATTACGTAATGTGCATATAATATAATTATTTATTTGGCTGTAAGTATGAATTTTGAACAAATGAAAAGTAAATAAAAAATGAAAAATTTTTTCGGAAGGATTTTGTCAAATTTAGTTTTATACTTTTTAGCATACACGATATTTGTATATCTATTTGAAAAATTTTTTAGTCAAGTTAAAAAATAAAAAAATAATAGGTTATAAACATTTTGCTTGGAATTGTTTGTATTGGTTTCTTTATGCAGTATACATTTATTCATTTGGTTTTACATTACCGCCGATAAGAAATCACCGTACACTGCAATGACGCGGCGGAAAGCGGCGAGATTAGCGACGGCGCTATTGGAGAACAAGAATGTAAAATGAGCTTTATCTTGCCCTCCCATGGAGATCCAGTACATAAGGTAAAATAAGTAAGCTGAGTAGTGTCGATAAGTGTCGTTGTAATTTTCCATCATCATAAATTTATAGTAAATCCTTGTCCTTAATTTCCCGTAATATTCAACATTGGTTCGTTGCCTTCGTTTTTTTTTTTACTCTCGTACGTTTTGCTAATAACACACACGTGATTCATGTTCCTACACGTCATAATATGTAACGTTTAATAACGTAGCAAACTGCCTCGACGCAGTTTCAAACGTGCAAGAGATCGAATGTCGCTCACGTGACGAGAAGTTAAGAAGAATGTTTTTGTCATCATATTTAAAATAATGATAATTTTTATGACCAAGCGGGTACTTGGTCATGAAAAGACATATTTTTCATATAATTGTTGTTAACTGCTGATAAGATTATTTTTATTGCAATAAATTCTTAAAATTTTAAATTCTTAAATTCTTAAATAATAAATTTTTAAAAATTGTAAAAAAAAACAATTTTTGACATTTTGTGATAAAAGTGTTTATGTTAGAACTATTCTTTTTGATCGCCAAGAATGCAGATTTCAATCGAACTCCGATTGATTAATTTACTGATTAACATAAATATATATACTATTTTAATAGGAATAGAACAGTTAATTTTTTGTTATTTAATAGGAAAAGAAAGATTAAATTAGGATCAATGAATAATGTAATTAGAAATTTTGTTTCACAAACAATTTTATTAGATGAATTAATAGCTGATTAAGTTAATTCGAATTTGACTGAAGTTGCCCTATAAATTGCAATTTCGAACAATTCCATTTCATTATTACCAAGAAATATAAGAAATGTCATAGACGAGACGTTCATTTATAGAATTATTATTTTTAGATCTTAACTTTAATAAATGACAATATTGAAAGATGTTTTATTTATTATACTAGATCTCACTGTTCCTTTACAAGACGAAAAATTATTATCTTAACTTACAGATTCTATACAAATATCACCTGATAGACATACATACATGCGTGATCACATTTCACAGATTTTGCAATCACGTGTAAAAATTGCCGCGTCATATGATTATCATAAATTGCTTACATAATAAAGAAAATTACAGTCACTGTATCGTATGAAGTATTTTAAATACTTTTGTCTTATCATTTTTATATCTTTTGTATCTCTTCATTTGTTAATATTCTCCCATTTCTTTGTCTATATATTTTCTTTAATTATTTTTTTTATAAACAACATTTAAAAAATGTAATAATATTAAATAATTCGAAACACAATAAAGTATCAATACATGATACTTTTTCTAATACAAAAATTAATTCGACAGTATTTAATGTTAATATACATGTAGATTACTTTTACTTTGATATTCATGCCGCCTGCATTTACTTCAATGCAAATTGAATTGCTTTAGTCGTCAAAAAAGCATACCGGTTGTCTAGACTGATAGTCTAACTACAATGGAGATAAAAATAATTACAGCGATAAAGTTATTAAATATTTATTACTAAAAAAAGTTATCGTTTAACTATTAATATATATCTTTATCAAATTGTATTCTTTTTATTAATTTAATAATTGTATATATGTACGTTTATATATATGAAATAATTCACTCCTGAATTGTTGAATTCTTTCACATAAATTCCACGAGACTTTCCATCCTCTTTGCTATTTTTCGCGCGACCGCGCCAGGATTAATGTCACATGGCACTTGTAGTTCGTTCGCAACATTCGCAATCTGGTTTTTAGACGTTGCGGCTACGAAACGTCTCCACAGTCCTCTACAGAGCTACCTACAAGACGACGGCGACCGACTGTGTATTTCGAATGGAAATTTCCAATGGAAGTTGGCATGCCGCGCACACGGCGCGACCGTACAGTCAACCATAAAAGCGAATGCTTTCCCATTCTCCTCGTCTATTTAAAACATGCATGGCGCTTTCTCTGAGTTGAGTTCACGATTAAGTTACATCTATGCCAAAAATTTCCAGACATGTTTCTACTATTGTTTTTTTTTTTTCTTACGTTTTTAACTGCAGTACGTTTTCAACTTGTATCAACTCAAGGATAATGGAAACGATTTAATTATCCATCGTAAAATTTCGTACGGAAAAAATGACATATTTGAATTCGTCATATTAAAAAATTTTAAATATCTACTCCTTTTTAACAATATTAATAATATATCCTCTGGAAGTGTAATTTTTAATTATCATACTCTCACTTTAAGAATAATCTTGGATAAAAAGATAAACTTTTAAATTATAATTAATTTATAATATATATGTCAGAATGCATAATTATGTAATACTGTAAGTATTACATATTTATAAATTGGTTTTATAAGTTTATAATTGGAATATTCATCATGACATTGTTGTAAATTATTCCAAGTGATATATATATATATATATAT